ATATCTAACTGGCGACAAATAATTAGTGATTATCCAACATTCAAGAAATTTATTAGTACAGTAAATTATTGTCAAAGAACAGAAAAGAGAATATATTTTTTTTGAAGATGAGCTTTTTAAATTAATTTTTTGCTCCTCATTAAATTAACGTATTAATTTATTAGCTATTGTTTAATCTAGTACGTTCTTTTTTGAGGCACTTTTCGTTAGCATAGTCCTACAATCGGGCGAAGTTCAAAACAGAGCAAACTTTTTGCGTTGCGACCGAACCGGCACCTCTAGACCGGACCATCCTTTTGTATCTTAATCTCTCCATTGCCCCTACACTACCACACCGACGCGGCAAAGTTCCGAAAAATTACCAAACACTGTCTCTCTTAACTGATATATCAATAACAGGTGACCCTAGCACTTTCCATAAACTTTGACGTAAATTCAACTTTGGCTTACCATTAGGTAAGGACCATTTACGAAAGGGAAATATACGACGGCGGAGCTGGGGGAGGTGTTTTGGCGTTAGTCGTTCTTCCCTACCCCTCCTTTTTTGAGAGAAGGTAACGTTGTTTAGAGAAAAAAAAAAACGTCTAAAATTGCTATTGGGGAGATCAGCATATAATTTTAAATTTGTCCATTGATGTCCGTCTTGCTCCATAACTGCGAAGGGAAGCAAAAAGAGCAAGTCAGTAATTTTAATTGTCATAAACACATTCAGGGTTTTTTGCTTAAGCTGCGATCACCGATAGCATTTTGCGGTTATAGTCAGCGGTTAAATCAAAGCCTTGAAGCATAAACCGCGGCCTCACCATCAGTCTCTTATCCCGAGGCTTGAATTCAGCATGAAAAGAAATCGTAATCAGCTTTCTCCAGTGGTCCCTGTCTCTCTCTCCCCAGGAACTAGTGAGCGCCTTTCCCTCAAATTAAAAAAAAAATAGAAGGTGGAGAAAGAAGGGGAGAAAGAAGGTAGGAAGAAAACAAGTAAAAACAATTTGAAAAAGAGAGGACACGAGATGTGTTATGTAGGACACAATAATAAGTTAAGATGTAACTGACATTTCTGTACTTCTCTGTTATTTTATCATTATTTTTTAATTTTGTGTAATTCACGCCGAGTCAGCAGATCGGAATGCTTGAAAATACACTCCAGGGACTGCTTTTACAATTTTTATCCGTTTGAGCTCAAAGTTTGCAGGATGGTAGAACTTTTGTATTCCAAACAATGGTATGCGTTTCTGTCCTCTTGGATTTGAACGGGGTTTTTGTGTGAAAAAATGACCCGATTTCTCTCGATTTAAATGATTATTTTGCAAAAGAAAATGACTTGTGACAGCACCAAACCAAGTAAAAATGGGTAAATGATGAAGAATAGCCATCCCCCTTCTCCACTCGGATAATGGCGAAGAAAGTGTAAGGGTTTGTTACTGCTGTCACGAATTATTAACATGACAAATGACATGCTTTGTTTGTTTGTAAATCCTATCATAACGAGACAGTTTATTTTTCCTTTCGTTGGCATGACAACGTAATGTGAATATTTTACATAATTTACTGTATACCAATTTTGGCGGGAAGTTAGGGGACAGGTATAAATGGCTCTCATTGTACAAAAAATTATCGCAAGAAAGCGCTTAATTTGTGGACTAATGTGGACTATTATCAATGCTGCGTTCTGATTGGCTGAGCTACTTCTAGGCTATATGTCATAGCCCACTAGTAGCGAAAAGCGCAGGCTTTGAAAACCAAAACAGTGGCGGCTGAATGGCGTTTTGCTAGCTTAAGTTGTTTTGTCTCGATAGTTTTGACCAACTAGTTGGATTTTACTAAACCAATTATTCTTCTCGCCCTCATGGCCTCTGAGTCAATAGCCCATGAGGCCGAAGGCCTCATGGGCTATTGACTCAGAGCTCATTCGGGCTCGAGGAATAATTGTTAATTAGATTCATGCCCAGCATATTTACTGAAAGCGAGTGAGATATTTAGACGAGAATTTTTCTCATCCAGTGTCATAAATGAATGCTCTATTTTTAGTCATTAACCTTTGTTTGGCCTAAATAAACCAAATTGTTTTCGTAAAAGCAGATACGATAAAATATGATATTGATATTAGGGAAATGATGAATGATTAAAAAACCTTGTTCTCAATTCCCCTCTGATAAAGGCACAAGTTGGCTAAAAATGTTAGAGCAATTGGAACGATAAAAATATTTATATCCAAAGAATCTGATTAACCACTTCAGTTGGTTCTTACGATGATCAACAAAGAAATGAAATATTTTTAGTTCCACAGTTGTATTTCGTCATTCCTTAGCAATTTTTAAAATCAGATTACTCATTCCCTATTATCGAAGAACGTCAACGCATTTTAATTCATCTTTATTTGGTAGCTTTATTTAATTAGTCCGTCAAAGAATTCGACCGGCCATTAATTTGTTCCAACCGCGTAAAACTATATCGGGAAACTTCATAGCGGAGCTCTCGCACACGCAGCGGAGCACCATGGGTACGAAAATGTGGTAAACTGCCCATCCGAGAAAATTTGGTAATCACGTGACTGTACACCGACTGACCGACCGCCGCCCGAGAGTCCGTCGGCACCACATGGATACCAATGTCAAATATTTCAGTCAACAGAGGTCAACAGGTATGGCAACCGAAATGCAACTCAAGGTTTTATTTGGAAAGAAATCGCGTGGGCCACCCGGACTTTAAGAAAGAAAAAACAACAACAAAGTCGTCTCTTTTTCGACGTTATTTTTGATGTTTACACTCACGTGGACAACAGAGAAAGAGCTAGAGCGAGTGATTGAAAACAAAGGAGACGAATTTTGTAGGAAGGAAAACATGACAATTCAAAGCGGCGGTGAGACAATGGGAACTGCTAGCGCCCAGCAAGGAGCAGCCAGCAAGGTGAAAATGAGGACATGAACACAGTAGACAAAGTATTGGGTAGGCACATACGACAATTCCTCCATAAAAATAATGTGTACCTAGGACGTTTGACGATTTAGTCCTGCAAAACAGCGTTGTAGTTTTGCAAAACAACGGCAAAGAAAGACAAAAAGCGTGCTGCACGTGGAAATTTGTTTTTGTTGCTAATTATGTTACGCTTACGACAAATAGACCCACTGCTTCATATAATAGTAATAGACTGTCCATACTCATGTATACCCTGTATACCCATGTACTCCCTGGCGTAACATGAAAGAATAACTGATCTGGTCGATCTGCTTGTCACTCTAGACCAGACAGTCTCTTCCTCTTGCCTTTATACACCCAATTGTTATTTTTAGGCTATGACAATAACTTTTATTCCTTCAGCTGTTGTTTCTAACATATAGTCAAAATTATAATTGCTGCAGTCTTTGAACCATTAGTGTAAAAAGTCTTAGCAAAATTAAAATGCTACCACCTTACTTTTTTCTAAGCAAAAAATCAACATGCAACGCAGTTTGCCTCTACCTTGAACTTATCATGATAAAAATGATTTGCTTTTTAAATTGAAGTACAATTAATATGTTGTTTTTGTTGTTAATGTTTTCTTGTACCTACTCAATTATAGTTTTTTAAAAAAACTAGGTACTTGAGTTCCACAATGCATTGCTCAAAATACAACCAGCCATACTAGAACGGCTTATTAAATTTACTTCTTGAAGACTACTTTACTAACAGCTTATGGCTTTATATCGTCAACACCTGCTGGAAAATAGAAATGAAAAAATATCAAATTATTATTATTATTATTATTATTATTATTATTATTATTATTATTATTATTATTATTATCTTGTGTCCATAAGTCCTCTAGATCAGAAAACTGAGGTGCTTAACTAAAAAGTGCACGTGTTCGTATGCATCAAAAACGGTCACCTCAAGTTTTCCTGTTGAAAACTGATGTTTATCTCTTGTGTTTTTCTTCTCAAAGTTCAAGAATCTCGCCCGTTCCCCAAAACAATGGGAATAAACTGGAATGTACTACACGTAAGGTTAACCAAACGAGGTTTAACGTTTTCGAATAATCCTGATGGCTCTTATCAGCCAAAAAAGGCAGGTCTCGGTTTATTCTGTCCAAACTTGTGTTTGAGAATGAAAGTGTATGGTAATAACTTTAAAGCAAAGGAAAATGCCCCCAATTTATGCCCCGATACATCCCATCAGTAGTCAGGACGGTCTCTAACTTTGATAAGCTGTTCTGGCAAATTGTCAGTTTTTCAAAAACAAATTCTACTGTTGTCCACGACTTTGCCACACGCAAACAAAACAAGGACTTAACAACTTCTCCATGCATAACACGACTCTACGCCTAGGAGTTAGTCACCTTACTAAACTGGCAAAAAAAACGCAAATATTATCCAGTAGTCCGTGGGGAAACGATTTAAGAGGCAGGGATTGAGAAAACTGTGTTTACCTCTGGAAAGATCCCAGCTAGGTCCCTGTGGTAAAGGAACAGACAATTCGAAAAAGTTAGTCGGTTTAGATACTTCACTAAGATGATGCCATGTTAATAGTAACATTTCTTACACCTGTGTGTTCTTCTCTATTCATGACTGACCAAATAAAATACTTCCTTTACCTGTAAACAAAAACCATCTTTCTTGTGAATAAACTTATTTTTATGGGAGAGACCGTCCGTCTGCACCACAGGTATACCAATGTAAAATAACGCAATCAACAGGTATGGCAACTCAAGGGCAACTCGAGGTTATTTTGGCGGGAAATCGCATAGCCACCGGCGTCTTGTAATTAAAGCAGAGACAACAAAAAAGACAATAAAGACGAAAACGGAAAGCGGAAATTGTTTCTGTATCCGTGTTGTCTAAAGTATTTATTCAAGCTTAGATAAATTGTTATGTCCACAAATTTGGAATATAGAGCAAGAGAAAGACAGAGAAAAAGAGAAAGTGGGCGGTATGCCAACGAAGCCCAACGAGAAAAAGGGCGACAGGGATTTAGAGCGAGAGATAAAAAACCGAAGGATACAATTTTTCGTTGAAAGAACAACATGG